CCCCAAAACCCCAAAACCCCAAAACCCCAAAACCCCGATAAAAGCGAAAGCTGTTAATAAATAATTATAAGTGTAAGTAATATGTCTGATTTTTGAACTACGGATCCACCGCCAGTTGAAAGTGTCCCAGGAAGCAAGGAAATTTCCCTTAAAGCGACTAAGGATGAGCTTAATAGATAACATAGTAGCTCAAAAGCATTTATTTTACATTAATTGCTATTTTAGAAAATACTACTGAAAGATCGATGGGTTCCATTTCTAGCCCGACCAAAGCGTGCTTTAGCAGCTAAAATAGGCTCTATGACTATAAATTAAGGCATTTGCGAATACTAAAAGTTGACTATAAGCTATTTGAACCTTCCTATTCCTCAAAAATCAACTTATAGCAATATCTTCTCCTATTACCTAAAGATCTGACCCAACCAATGACTAGCTCGAGGACAGACCTCCCTCTGCTTACCCTCTATTCTCTTATAAGCTTTTTAACAATCCCCAGCCTTGCTCTTGCAAACCCACTTTCTGTTCTTTGCCATTTCTAAAGGCACTACAAAATTTCCTTCAGAATGTCCATTTCGAAATATGTGTGACATTCTCGATTAAATCTGACCTTGATATCTTCCAAATTAAATAAACTCTGTAGTGATCTTCTCTAGAAAGTGGCCAAATCTTCTATTATAGATTAGCCAGTGGCTCGTGTAGCTGGATCAGTTTTGCTAGATTATGATGACTTTGGAATCTAAGATACTTGCACTTGGTGTTTGAATTGTGGAGCTTTAGGTTCGTGGTAGGGTCATCTCCAGGGCTGTGAGATTTGGGGAGTGTTTTGTTTGGGAGTTGAGAGTGAGATGGCTTGTGAGAGTCGATTTTAGTTTGTGGTTTATGAGTGAGAAAATTTATGCCAGGATCAACCAAAAAGGGACACTTTCAATACCCTCTTTTCTTATTTTATCCTAGTATTTACTAGATTATGCCTACTAACATTGACCCTAGACATAATATGAGCAAAGATAATCAAAATTTTCAAAAACAGCCAAATCCTAAAAGATCACAACAAACCCCAGCTCCAGAGGACTCACTTGCTAAACGCAGATCTCGAAGAACGTAAGACCACTCTCCTCCTTCAAACCCACCTACATCACCACAGTTACTTTAACCTACTCTAGTGTAAAATCAAGCTCTAAACTGAACCCATTCGTGTATGAAATCTACCCTAACAAAGGATCACAATCTTTTCGCAACAACTACAGTCCAGAATACCAGGAACTTCTCCTACATGAAATAATGATGGTGCAGCCTTATTCGTAACATATTTAGACCAGAAAAACTGGACGTAATCAGAAGAATGCCAACGACCCAGACTGGAGTCACCAACATCTTAAGAAGGCATCTTCTCATCACATGGGAGATGCTGGAATGGGAATGATGGTAAGCATTAAGTTTTATATGGACCTTTTGATTAATTTCCTATTGATTTGGGATGATGTTAGCTATTCAATCAAAACTCTTAAACCATGCTGGAGATATTTAAAATTTCTTCAAGAATTTTCCGATTTTTCAATTAAATCCCTTTTAGTCGGATTAAAAAGCAATCAAAAGCGTTATCAACACTTATAAAACAATGTTTCCCTAAATTTCTCTTCTCATATTTAAAACAATTTTTGAACTCAAAAATTCCATTTACCTCTTAAATCCCTTTTTCCTATCAAAATTTGAAAAGTCATACATCTGCACCTCTCAACATTCAAATTTTTATCTCTGAACTTCAATTCCCTTGCCCATTCCTCTTAACCCCTCAATAAGTCAGGCCAAGGTTTCAAATACCCTGAGCCTAGCCTTGCCATCTCCCTCTTGAGTTATGCTTTGCTTTCTGGTTTTGGTCGGTTCTTTAGACTAAACATAATTTTTTAGGCAAAAGATCCAGATTTAGAAGCAATGCAGAAATTAATATAAAGCAAGAAATCGAAGACAAGAAAGAAGAAATTAAAGAAGAGGTTTCTCAAGAAGAAGGTATGATATCAAATTAGAACAGAGTTTGTTAGTTCGCAATGATATTTATTTGGAAACTTGTTTTAAGGCGACTTGCTATGGGTTAATTTTTGGAGCATTCTGTGAGCCGAGAGTTGATTTTAGTATATCTATAAGTTGGATAGTTTTTACAGAGAGAAATAAGAGGATTAAAATATTGGAATGTTCAGGATTTTTAATTTGTATAGTTAATTTATTTTGATGAGATCTATACTCTTCCTTCTTCCCTTAGGCTTCTTCAATAAAAAATTGACTCTTTTAATTAATTCTTGAAATAATAAATGAAAGTGTAGGAAAACACTAAGAAGAGTTTCTCATCAATTTTTTCTCAAACCCTTTTGAAGCTTCAGAAAAGCCTAGAATCGATAATAAAAAATAAAAGTTTCAGTACAATTATTTCCACTTTCCTAAACGTCTTTACCAATTTTAATTCCATCCGCTAACTAAATTCAATTCTCTCTACATCCCCAAAATCCAAAAAATCCCCTTTATCATTCCTCAATTTCACTTTATCCTAAAACCTAGCCTTCGACCCCACTAATTCCCAGTATAGATAGTGACACTTCCAGCATCCAGGACGAAGACAGATCATCTGGTGGCGAATCCCATCCTCAAAAGTAATTTTTACATTTATCAATCCAGAGAAAGTCAAAAGAAACATATTAATTGGAATTTCAGTTCCAGAAAGAGAAAAAGATCTAGAAGAGCCTCCAACGAAATATCCAAAAATAAGCCAGATAGAAGAAGCAAGAATATTGACAATAAGCCGTCAGAAGATAAAACTGAGAATAAGCTTAAGAAGTCTCAGAGTAAATATAGAAACTATTATAGATAAACCTCAACCAGTTAGAGAAGGCCTCAGAAGATCTAGTATTCTTTTCAAGTAATATTTTCAGCAAGATTACATAAACCAATTCCTGAGAGACCTCAAGTGTCTCAAATCAGAGAGAAGAGATCTAAATTTAATGCTGATAATCCAATAATAGTAAAAATAGTGGCTTATATTTTAGAGGCAAGGAGCAGGCCTTCATAATTCCAGAATTTCTCAACCCAATATTATTGAGGTAACTTTTACAACTAAATTTTAGCCTTTCTATCCTCCAAACAGTCAAATGCCTCATTCCTTCCCTCCTCTCAACTATGTTGTGGAAAACCAAAGAGCTGAATATGCTAGAAGTGGTAATCTTGATTTTACTCATGTACTAGAAAATGAAAATCAGCCTGAAAATTCACAAAGTAGTTATTTTCTAACTTAATTACAGACTCTTACCCCCAATTCTGGAGATACCCAGACGGCCAAGAAATAATGCTGTCAAATGTAGAATTACAGACAAATAAAAATCAAATCAACTCAGATAAAGAACCTCCTCAAAGAGTAAAATAATGTGCCAAGAGTGCCAAATCCCCTTGCTTCCCCTCAAAAGAATATGGAACATCCAAATCTAAGGATAAACCACAATACCCAATCTGGAAATGGTCCCTGCAGTTTAAACAAATTTCTTCCAGAATACGATCTTAACAGAAGTCTTGACGGTATTTTTCTATATAATTTCATAGAAAGTTGTTCAGAAAGTTCAGAAGAGCCTAATGAAACACAGAGATATAACGGCCCTGACCTAAAAACTTTCGCAAATGCCATTCTCAAATCAGAATTACTCTGCTTCTTCCCACAGTCTAGACCCAAAATGGGTAGCAGCTTAGAGTCAGCAGACACCGATGGAAGAGAAGAAACGTACCAATGCTTGAATCTATTAAAAATAAAACCCTTTTAAAGTATTCCTCTCCATCTACTTCTCAAGCCTGTTAGCTTTTTCCGAGTTGTTCTAGGTTTTCCATGGATTTGCAATGTTCAATGCTTAAACAAATTAAAGGGGTTTTGGGGTTTTGGGGTTTTGGGGTTTTGGGG